CAAAAAGCAATCACATTTTTAGTTGCAGAATTTTTAGTTTGGAGTTGGTGAACTCCAAACCCTATCGGCACACTAACCTTATACATTTATATATCCGTATATGTCTTAGGATGCAAAACAATCAGGTTGACACAACATCTATCCTAGTAGATTTATTTTCCTATGTTTTCTTCCTAAGCTACACATTTTTAAGAGGCAAAGATTAGCATTCAGGATATAAGACTGGAACTGGTATTCCATTTGTAGAGGACTAGTCTTTCAGATCTAACCCAGACTATATTTGTCACAATTGGGAAGGTTGAAAAGAAAACTTATAATTAACACAAAGACTATTTGTGCACAGGCATTTTATAATGTGGCCAACATCGCTCCTTGTGCCTGCTTCCACTCTACTGTGCGCTCCCGCGCCGCCTTCGCCCGGGCAGTTGACCATGCTTGCCAGGGACCCACGTTTGGGCCCCGGAGGGCCCCTCGGCTGTCTTCAGAGTGACCCCCTAACTCGCCTGCCATGACTTTGAATGGTCCATCAGTGGAGGTCTCCCTTGAGGGTGCCTCCCGGGCCATCACAAGTCTCGGCAGGAGTTCACAGGGCTCCAACCTCCCCTACACCCCGGCTGTATGCCACCCTTAGAGACAGGCCTCTGAATCTGTTCACAGCTAGCCCCGCTGGTGTTTTTCCTGTCCTTGGTGTTACCTCTCACTGGCGACCATCCAGGGCCCTGGTCGAGCTCCCGTGAGGGTCTGGGAAACTCTTGGCTTTCAGGCTCGTCTTCGCTGGTGCCCTTAATGACTGCTGATGGTAGGCCCAGTGCGTTCTGGCGGGGTTCCTCTCTCCCCCTGTTCACAGGGTCTGAGCCACCCTTGCCTGGTGCTACAGGCTTTGTTGATCCACCTTCCAGGGGATCGAAGTATATGTGACCCTAAAGGGGAACCACTGCCAATACCCAGATCCTATACCCCTTCTCCCAAAACACCTAATGTGAAGGAAAGATACAAGGCCACCACCATGACTTCTAGTGAAATGTGACCTAATGGAAAGAAGGGCAGGGGGAACGCCTCGGGAAATGGAGCACCCTCAGTGAAATCTCCATACCCCCTTAATTCCCCTAACGCCCTCCGGCTAGGGCCCCCTCTGGGCCAGTACTTGTGCCTCACCCAGTTGGGGTCTCTCACTCTTTCTCCCTGCGTTTGCCTGTGTTCGGAGTGGCGGACCTGTTGCCCCTTATTGGGGCTCTCACGCCAGCTCCCTTTACCCTACCGGGCTACTCCGGCTTGGGGTTCCCTGCCGCTGTCACTGCTGCAGCCGGCGTCCCTGCCAATTTTCCTGCCGGCATCTCCAACCCCCCCGCTGGTCCTTGGCTCGGGGATCCTCTGCCACTCCCACTGTTTCCACCATTGCTGCAGCTGCTGCTGCTGCCTTTGCTGGCCTCCCTGCTGGCGTCTCCGATCCCCACCAGTCTTCTCTGGCTCGGGGATCCTCTGCTGTCCTCGCTGCCTCCGCTGCTGCCGCCGCTGTTGCCACTGTCAGCTGGTGGCTGCTGGCCGCAGCGGCTGGAAGCCTTCTGCCCAGTGGTTCCCCACTGGCTCACCGGTCCTTGGTGGCCTTCCCGTGCTTTTGTGGCCCTCTTTCATCTCCGCCGAGTGGCGTCCCCTTATGACGTCACCCAGCCCCAGCTGTATATGGGCACAGCTTACAAACCTTATGTTTCTCGCTCTGGGCTTCCTTGCTCCTCCCAGCCCCTGGAACAGGTAAGTTGTTTTTCCCTTTTTTTTCTTCGGCTAGGGGTTTGCCTCTAGATGAGGTTTCCCCCCTTTCTGGTCCTGTGCCCTGGCACACTCCTCAATCATTCTTTCACAGCTCATTCCACCAGACTTCAGATAGCTCTGCAGTATCTCCAAAGAATTTTTCCATCATGGCCATAGAAAGCAGGCACTTGGGAATCTACTCAAACATTGTAACATAGTCTATTGCTGAAGCTTCTAGATCGTATACTGTGCTCCATTCTCTTGTTTCTTCATTTCCAACTTGCAGCCATCATTGCAGTGGTGCACCGTTTACTAATTTCACAAAAAGAATATTTTGAAAAAAAATGATTTACCTCTTGTAAATTGAGTTCTTTGAGATGTATTATCCATATGCACATTCCACAACTCATCCTATGCTTCCTCTTCTTTTTTTTTTTTTTTTGGAGTTACAGGTGAGTGGGATTCCATAGTGAAGAAGGAAGGGAGTAGTATTTGGTTAGTTTCACCCCTTTGTGCCACTGGAGCAGGTTGTGAGGGTATTTGAGGCAGCTGTATGATCAGAACAGAAAATGCCATTGAGAAGACTGATTTGGATACTTGTGGCATATAAATACAATAAGTGAAATATATATGTGGTCAATATATTGTTGTTATTGTTGTTGTCTAGATTTATGTCCCAAAAGGCTCAGAATGGCTTACAATAACACACAAACAACACACAAGATAAAAAAACAAACTTTAAAACTCGACCCTATCTGCTCCCATTTCCATGCTTGTTACCTTGGGGTGCTCGTACACATGACAAAATAGTCCTTTTAAGCAGTTTAATTGCACTTTTATATACACTTTCTTTAAGAAAGCAGACAAGACTCCAGAAAAAACAGCCAAGACTCCTGAGAAGACTCCAGCCAAGAACCCTTCAAAATGTCCATCAGAGTCTCCTCAAAGAAGTCCTTCCAAATCAGTGTGATTGCTGTTTACAATAGAAATACATTAACGTAGCTATATTGCTTATCTATAATTGATAGAGTACAAAATGCTGGGTTATTTTTGGTGAAAATAGGGTATTGGTTCAGAAACCAATCCCCCCTTTATAATATTGTTTCCCATGGGAGAATTGGTTCTGAGTTACAACGTTTCGACTTAAGATGTGGTTTTCAGGAACCAATTGTGTCATAAGTCTGAGGACTGCCTATATTATGTTTCAGTTTTATCAAGCTGTACATGTGTGGCAGTGTATTTCAATTTAAATGATTTTGTTACGTAGCAAAGTAAAACACATCTGATGTGTTTTAGTTTGCTACATAACACATTTTAGCGATACATCCAGAGAAGGCAGTGGAGATGGTGCATGAGGTGCTGGAAGCCCAAGCGTGCTCAGGGAAGCTCGGGTTTGGCAGGCTTCCAGCGCCCCGTGCACCATCCAAGCCGCCTTCTCCAGCTACTAGCACACCGAGTTGCCTTCCTGCTGCCTTCCTGCACTGCCCCTGGGGCAAGCCAGCCTGTTGCCGGGTGGTCCCATGTGGCAAGAATGCGGCAGGGATGGTGCATGGGATGCTGGAAGCCCGCCAAGTCTGAGCTTCCCTAAGCATGCCTGGGCTTCCAGCGCCCTGTGCACTATTGGACTGGGCTGGGTGCTGCCTGCAACCTGGGGCATCACCCACGCACCTAGCACGATATCTGGGTAGCCCCAGGGAACGCCGCTGCCATGGAGGGAAGCACTGGGTCCCCTCGCAACTCAGGGACTGTGTGACCCAGCAGCAGCTTGCAAGCACAGGCTCTGCCAGCAGCTCACCCCCTGGCCATGGGAGATGCGGGCAGGCTCTGGGAGGAAAAAAGAAATGGATCAGGCCCCCTGCTGCTTTTTTTTTGCTGGAGCCTGCCTGCATGTGGGGAGTCCAGTCCCTCCTGCAGCAACAGTGTCCTTTGGGGCCACCAGAGCAGAGTGTTAATGGGTTGGCGCTGCCTGGGGGAGGTGTCACCACGGTGAAGGGAAGGACCAGGCCCCCCTGCAGCTCAGGGCCTGCCAGAGCTCATCCCCCAGCTGTGAGAGAGGTAGGCAGGCTCCAGGGGGAAAAAAGGATTGGACCCCACGCTTTTTTTTTTCTTCCTGGTGGAGCCTGCCCACAGCCAGGGGGGTGAGCTGCTGGTGGGCCATCACTGTTCTGTAATAGATGGAAGTCCCTAAATTAAAACAGTGGGTTTTTAATCGACACAAAAACCCACCAATTAGAAACCCACTGTTTCAATTTAGGGAGAACTAAACCCCCATCATGTGTACAAATGGCCTTGGAGAGCAAACCCTCCATCCCATCCCAACTATGCCTCCCAACTTCTATTCACACCTATGTATAAAAATCTGTCCCACTACCCTGCACCCATATCTCAGCTCATTCAAGTTAAAATAGAGTAAATAACTTTTTTATCATTCTTTAAGTCAAAAACTAGTTTTTGTAAAGTATGATCTTAACCTGTTTTGATAGAACAGGAGCTTCTAAAGATCAAAAGGTTGATTGTTGAAGAATCCGTCTCAACTGCTTTATGAATACATACAGTTACCCTATGTGTAACATGCCGCACATTCAAATTAGTGTGTGATGCAAATGAGTTACAAAGACATTCTGCATTTAACAAGTAACATCTTTGAGGTTGGAGTGCCATTTTTGCAGTTCGTTATTGGGCGACTGCTTGAATGATACAATTAACATGTTAATTGTAAATTTTAAAAAATGTTCGTCTACCAGTGGCCTCTATAAGATTTAAGAAATAAATAGGGAAGGGAAAAAACAAACTTGTAATATCTAATTTAGAAATACATAACTAATATATTTAGTTGTGTGTGTGTATATATATACACACACACACATATATATATACACATATGTATTGGTTATATAACTAGGCATTTACAATCTAGTACAAAAACTACTGAATTTATAAAATCATCTCTAAGATCTTAGCAGGTATGAGAAAACAAAACAGGCAGGGCACATGAAGTTTCTAAAGCAGTACTGACCTATATGATAAGTGTCATGGCATCCATATGTTTATTTTGACAGTTCCCTAGGCTAGAGGCTTCTCGTAGGACAAGCCAAAGAAGAAATCTTTAGTGGAATCTTGTTAAAAACAAAATAGAGACATGCTGAGTAAATGTAAAAATGTACTATATTCTTGAGGGGTTAAAAAATTGTAGTGTGCATGTTACAAATTATTATGCCAGAACTTTGTCACCAAATGTATTTATTCTCTTTTAGCATACCCATGTGTGTACTGGTTAACCAACACCTCAACCTGCTAGCCAGAAAGTTTCCAGAAACCAAGTTTGTGAAAGCTATTGTGAACAGTTGTATACAAAACTACCATGACAGCTGTCTACCCACAATATTTGTATACAAAAATGGTCAGATAAAAGGCAGACTTATTGGAGTTACTGAATGTGGAGGAACAAATCTTAAACTAGAAGGTAACAAAACTACCTTAGAATCGTTTATTTTATAGTAAAATATATGTAATTATTAAGCACTGATTCTCAAGATCACAGTGAAAGGGTGAGGTCTTTTTTAATAGTTTTACAGAAAACAGGAAAAATAAAATGAGATTTAACTGTTAGACTCTACTGGGTTTCTATTTCTGCACAAAAACTGGTATGCTGGTAGCTTGGAGTATAAAATACTGAGACAAAGTTGAATTGGCACCAGGATGACTCTTTTCTAAGGATCCTGTTACCTCAGTCAGTCAGTGCCCTAGTCATTAGGGGACTTGTGGGAGATCCAGGTTTAGGTCCTTTGTCTGAATCAAGCAGAGCAGGGATTTGGACTGGATGTCCCACATTTAAGGTAACTTTCCTAACCACTATCGGTTTTTGCTTTGTGGATTTTGGGGTGAGGAGGTTGTTTGTTGTTTTTAAATGGGTCTCTCTCTTTTTCTCAACATTTTTCATTAGAAAAAGAGAACTGGGTTTGTTTCACAGCAGAACAAAAACAAATGTGGCTAGATGTGTAAGAGGATTTAGGGGTTGAGTGCCCCTATAGATACCTGTGGCAGGACACCTTTTGTGCCTGCCACTTTAAGGGCTTAGATCAAGCAGCAGAGCATTCTGCAGGTGGCTGCACTCCCCAGTAAGGCATTACATGGCCAGCAGGAGACTGTCTGGTTGGAGAAGAGGGCTCAGCAGCTAGCAATAAGAGCAGGCCTGAGCAGGGGTGCCAGCAGTTTGCTGCAAGCAGCTGGAGGGAGAACATCGCCCGACTGGAGCTGCTGCTTAGGGAACACCTTGGAGGTACAGGGAAGGAGCAATGGGGAAGATGGAGGCTCTTGGTCCTAGGAAATAACTAAAAACTACATTTTGCTAGGGCAGGATGGTGTGGTGGGGCCACCTGTGGCAGAGTTATCCCTAGGAAATGACATACCAGTTGCCTCCCTAGTGAAAAGCGAGTATGGGGTGCCTTATAGCCCCAGCCCCCAAAACCTGATGGGTAACCCAGCTATAGGAACAGGCGGGGGGCCAGGCACTCCATACGGGGTGTAAAACCTCGGTAGCCCCAGTGAGGGGGTGGTGGGAAAGAAATAGGCTATGCAGAATAGGGTACGCATCAACCTGAAGGACTGGGCTGAGTGGGTGCAGTGTAGGGTTTGCATAGGCAGGCCTGAAGGGCTGCACAGGGGCGTGCAGAGTAGGGCCGCAGGAGTGGCCTGAAGGACTGTACACAGGCCATCTCCAAAGAGTTTAGTGAGCAGTTGATGGTCCTAGTGAGAGGGCATAAGGCCCTAGTGAGAGGGCAGAAGATGGAGGCCCCAGTGAGGGGGCTTGGAAGCCAAGGTTACTTTCTGGGTGCCTGAGTTATAGAGGGTAGTGTGGGCCTATGGCCTACTATTGATTTTGGATGCCATGTGCAAGACATGGGACACGGTATAGGGAAGGCTGGAGCTGTGTATAATGCCCTTGGTAACAGGACATAAAATGGGCAGCCTCCTGCGTTATTACATCTTCTTTTATGCACCAAGTCATGGCACGTGAGATAGGGCAGACTGCCCTAGACAGGTGGGCAGGCCAACATCAGGACCGGCCTTGTGACGCCCCCTGTTACAATACCTAAGATAAAAATTTAGACCCTAAAAGCCTGCCTCAATGCTGGAGATCCCTGAAGTCTACAGGTATCTACATGGCTGTAAGTGAAGTTTTCTAGCCATGTAAAGGTCTGCCTCTGAGCATGTCTGTAAGTTCTTCTATTTTGACAGCGATGAGTAGATAGATGTCAAACTCACATATAAGTCTTCTCAAGATTCATAAATTATTCCTCTGTGTATCTCTCCTGCAAGACACAAATGGATAACACATCTGCCACATTAACTTACACAATGAACATAGCCACTCTGTTATCCAGAATCTCAGTTGTTAAGATCACTAACCCACTAATATGGAACACTGAGGCTTAGTTCCATGCCCAGCTGGAAGGAATTTCTATCCATGTCTCCTACTAACTAGAAGACTGTACAAACCACCAAATTAAAGCATATTCTGAATTGGGATGGCCAGCCTCTGGCATGTGTGCCACAGGTGACCCTGGTAGCCTCTGTGTGTGACCCACCCCAGGTTGTGGAGGGGGTAGGCAGCACAGTGGCATATGAAGTAGGGAAAAGGAAACAGAGGAGCATATCAGACAGTGAGCACAGGGCAGGGAGCAGAAAGCAAAACAGCAGATCCCGCAGGGGAAGGGAATCAAAGTGGCAATTGGAGGATGCTGTGCTAATTTGTAGTATGCCTGCCAAAAAAGTTGGGCCCCCACTGGTCTAGAACTCTGCTGCTGAAACTGTTCTGTTTTCACGGAGTAATTGTAATATAATAAAAGTCTAAGTCTGCCTGTCTGTCTGTCCATAATGCTTTATTAGTGCTCTGATTCACTGGCGGAAACAGCCAATCAGAGTGCTCCAAGCGTGGGGGAGCATCACCATGATTCCAAAGCTGCGCCAAGGACTGGATAGGGGATTGGGCAGCCGAGGTCAGCAGCGCTGGCTTCAGCTCCCCTACCCTACTCCTTGCAAGAGAATAGGGCGGTACTTCATCCCAGCGTCAGCATGGGGCGGTACTTCATCCCAGCACCCTCCCCCCTGTCATTCATAGAAGTAGGGTCAGAAGGTACCTTGTAGATCTTCTAGTCTGACCCCCTGCCCTGAGCAGGAGAGAAAACTGGGCTCAAATGACCCCAGCCAGGTAAATGTCGAGCCTCTTCTTAAAGACCCCCAGGGTAGGAGCCATCACCACTTCTCTTGGAAGTTGGTTCCAGATCCTAGCCACCATGACTGTGAAGTAGTGCCTTCTAATGTCTAGTCTAAGCTTACTCTCTAGCAACTTATGGCCATTATTCCTTGTTACTCTGGGAGGCGCTCGGGGGAACAAGGTCTCTCCCAAACCCCGCTGGTCCCCCTTAGTAAGTTTATAGACAGTCATCAGGTCCCCCCTCAGCCTTCTCTTGTG